ATTTGGACATGGTTGGGCTGCCATTCAAATTGTGGGAACAAGTGTCCATGAGTCAGGGTAACTTCTCTTAATCATTACCACTCTCCTCTGAAGAATGCAAGAACACCCTGAGGAACAGAAACTCCACAACAAAATCTTTAGGAGAAAGATGAGACTTTCCCCAAACTTTTACAGTTTTACAGTTTTCAATCACCTCCCAGCAAGCTTCAGAAAAGGCAACCAATCCTCTGCTTCCCATGCTCTTAGGAAACATTTTTTCCATCGAGTGTATTGAGCAGTTCAGCAGCGTAGAGGATTCAGCTGCAGGAGGTGCAGAAGCAGCACAATAGCTTATGGAGAAGGAAAACACGCTGGTTTCGGCTGCAAGAAACAGCCTCCTATCCCTCCTGAGCAGCTCGAGCACTTGGGAAGAGCCTCCTACACCTGTAGCAGGTACACCAGGTCCTGGTTTTTGGTTACCAACACATACCACACACGAAGAGGTCCCTTACACACCTTTGGTCCTCATCCACTGGAAGGCACCCAACTGCGCGTGGTCTTCAGGATGGAAAGTGGAGAGCCAGCACTTCACTGTCCATCATGTTCTTCGAAGACCAAGACATTTTGAATCTCAAACCCTAATGACAGGGTTGTAGTTGGAGACACACGTTCTGACAGCGAAAGCATCCTCCCTCATCTCCTTGGCACACTAGTAGCCTCCATGTTTTCTAAAGGTCTCTCTCCTCCAGAATTCAGTTGACTGAGGTCTGAGTGAAGACACCTTTTTTCTCGCTTGATGAAAACCTCATTTTTCCAACCAGACTGTTTGAGAGGAATTAGGTTCCTCTTGATTTAACAACCTGGCTACCAGAAATACAGAAGCCTGAGCGCTTTCACAGAATCTCCTCAGCAACAAATAAGATGCTCTCCCCATCAGCAAAGGGCATTTACTCCCCAACGGACAAAGCAGCTGCTTGCCCTTAAGTCCCAAGCAAAAAAGCTTAAGAAATCTTGTTCTGCTTGAGAACAGGAATATTAAAAGCAATAAGAAAATAAGTCCAACTGAGACCATAAATCTGACTTGCCCCATATTCTGGCAGTGACCAGCAACAATCGATTCAAGTGAAAGAAAAAATCCACAAGTATAAAGTGGTTCTTACCATATTATGATGTTCTTTCAGCTTCAGGAAATGCCTGATTTAAAGATCTTCCAGCTGCTTATGCCCACTTGTGTATTAGGCAGAACTTTACCCAAAACCTGTGATTTTGTCAGGCATCTTTCCCCTCGATTTCTTTTCAGCCTTCCCATGGCTCTGCAGTAAGTGCTCCCTGTTCCACTATTTGCACAAAGACTCATCGCTCTATCCTTAGGTTAACTTTGCTGATACAGAACCAAAAACTGAACACACCACTTGTATAAAATGGAAATAAACCCATCTGCTCAAAAAGAGAAGGGGAAAAAAAGGAGATTCCTGAGAGCATAGAAAAAATAACAACCTTGAAATATAGCACTTTGCCTCCATAAGAGCTAGGGTTGGGCTTCGGTGCAGAGCAAGGAGGACAAAAGCTGTGCATCAACTAAACACAGAAAGTGAGCATCTGAAAAGAGAGGAAGAAGCAGGCTGGAGGACATCCTGCAAAACGCACTGGACAAGCAGGGATTTGAGCCATTTAGGACTCAGATGTTTCACTGAGGTCAGTGTTTAGGACCTGGCTATCTGCAAAACAGCAGCGAGGATGAATGACGGGCAAAGCAGCTGCTCTGTGCCTGATCCACCAGACTGGGGTGGAAATCCCACCATATGACTTTGAGGATAATGTTAAATCCATTACAACATTCTCCGCTTCCCTGCTCATCCCACGCAAGCTTCAAAACTTCTGGTTTATGACTGGCTGCTACGGGATCATTGCAGGCTGCCTCTGAAGGGATAATCCTAAATTTTAGGCAACAGTTCCCGGGCATCTTCTCTTTCTTCCGCAGGGCTGTCTTACACAGCACATTAAGTATTTCGGAGATTAATAACTGGAGCAAAGAGTTCTAATCTGGGTGTCCTAGCGGAGATTTAGCAGAGAAGTGTTTCTGTTTGAAGCCGCTACGGCACAGGAAATGTAAGGAGCCTTGAAGAGCAGAAGCAAACCCAGCACGCAGCTCCAGCGGAAATCTGGGACATTAAACACATGATCTGTGTTTAGTCTCCAGGGCTTCTCACTGACGTGATGTTTCCCCTCAGAACAGATCTTACGGACCCTGTGAAAGGTGGGACCCAGTTTGAGCTCGCTTTTAGATTAAATAGACTGAGCGACCAAGGCTGTTAAATTACAACCTGTACTTTTGTATTCTTTGACCTGAATTAGGCGATAAGTGAATTGTATAGTAAGGTTGCTTTGAACTTAATATATTGAGGACCACACGTGAATCACTTGTGCATCCCTGAACTGACAAAGAGCATTTTGTCAGCTTCCAGGACACAGTTTGTGAGGATAAACACACTAAAGATTTGGGCTGCTTACATAGCAACTTAGTATTGTTGCCAAGATCATTTGGCAAAGGCCTTCAGAGCCTCAGGTGAATTTTCCTGTCCATAGATTTCCTGTCCCCCCAGTGAGGTTTTTCCATCCTTAAATGTTCCTCCTGCTGCTCCTCACTTAATCCAGAACCCCAATAAAAAAGGAACCAGAGAGGAACCTTGTTGGCCTCTTTTCTCAGGTGGCACAAGCCAGCTCTCAGAAGGAAATATTCCAAGCTCCCCAAGGCTTTCGTTGCCTTATTCCAACTACAACAAACACAAAAGAGGCACCAAATTTTCCACGTGGCTACGAGAAAACCTTAACCACAATGCCACAACACCAGAGTTTCATGAGACTCTCAACCAGCTCTACGGCCCAAAGCGTCACATCGTTGCGTCCTCCTGCCCTCCCACCCCACACTCATCCCATCTGCTTCGTGCCAGCACTAAGAGCTGCTGCAGCTCCACAGCAAACGTATCGGGGAACTGCACCTAACTGGATAAAATAAATCCCATTTTGCAACCTTGCTAGGCCAAGTAATTAGGTGATGACCAACACATTTAGAACAGCCTGGGACTGTGATTGTTTTGTCCATGTTCATTAGTTTCTCAGTTGTTTATGGGGACCAAGTGACAAATCAATGGCTAATATTTAGGATGTTATAAGGCTCTGCTTCCCTGAAGCTGTGCAAGCACCTCATGCAGCATCTCTGTATTGCACGGGGCAGCTCTGCTTGGAATTAATACGGAATCAATTATGGAAATAATAATTAATCAAAACAGTTGAAATGGTTGGACCCAACATTTAAACGTACTCTAACAGGTAACCTTTTGAATCCAAAATTATGTGTATCAAATCCTGTGGCAAAAAACCCCTCACTTCATACCAAAAAATCTCTCATATTCTCTGTTTTGAACCTGCAGCATAACCTACCTTGATGTCTGTAGCTCTTAGGAGACTATTTTTTAAGCCACCACTTGTTCACCATTAGGTTCTCCTGTTCACCAATTCAGTTTTGGATATTTTCCCATAGAATTACCTTTTCCTATTGGAAAATGGTTTGCAGCCTAATAGTTTACAGCCCTTACAAAACTGAGGGAGGTGGCTTAGATTTCAAGTGAGCATTTGGTATTGATTATTCCTTTCCGAAAGCAAAAGTGCATTGTTCCCTGTGACAACTGAATTCCCCATCCAGTTTCAGCTGGAATACATTGTGCAGGAGGAGAGGGGCCCAGCTGCAAACCTGCACTTTGCAGCAACCTAAAATTATTCAACCAAATACAGGCTTATTGCTGTACTCTTTAAAGGAGTCAAATGACTGAAACATTAGTCTGTGATAAAGCACAGAGACAGAGTTTGTTTTGCTGTTAAAACAACTTGATGATGATGATGATGATTAGTCTAGTCTGCTTTTAGCCAGACTGCAAACAGAATTTAAACATTATCTCTTAAGTCAAAAGGTAAATTTGTTGACCTCTTAAACCCTCTTGGAGCATCTGTTAAAGCTGACTGCGCTGGTGCAGGTGCTCATCGTAACACTGCGATATCACATTGGGGTTCTCTGGTAAGAGAAGAGTCTCCTTTCCCAACCTTGCTAAAATAAAGGTGACCCTGATGGTTTCAAGGGAATGAGCAGAGGTGATTCCAAAGGAGAAAGCCAATGGACTGTGCATTAAAAAGTACCAATTACAAATTAGCCCTAAATATATATAAATATATCCCCATCCAACTTTCAGACAGGATAGAAGAGTCCCACCAGCCTGTGTTCCATCCTGTGTTCTATCACCAGCCTCGCAAAGCCCAAGGCCTGCGCAGGAACTGAAATCCTTCCGGACTGTGCTCCGAGGGGGCTTCTTTCTTCACGGCTGGGCAATGCTTTGTAAGAGCAGGTCTGCAGCTGCAGAGAGGGCCCCACCTCACTGGCAGGGAGCATCTTGAGTCCCGGCAGCGATTCCGCAGGGGTTTAGCTGCAAGCGCAGAGCAGAGGGGAAAACCAAGAGCCAAGGAAGGTGCACGTGGCAGCGCGGGGAAGGGAGCCCGCAGAGCAGCCCGTGCCAACGCGTCCTGCCCAGCGCTCGCACTAACGGGCAAGGGGGACGCCTGCTGGCCTCACGGGCTTCATGCAAGCCCACATTTCAGACCATGCAACAAGAACAGTATAAAACCAGTAAGTTTTAATTAAAAAATAAAAGTGTAAAGCACACTTAAGTAAAAATCCTGAGTGCAAGTTTGGGGAAATCTGTGTTCACTGGAACGTACTTCTCTGCCGTGTTCCTCCTTGCCAGCATGCACTGCGTTACGCAGAGGTGACGAGTGCTATGACCGCCCGCTGATGCCCCAGAGCCCTTGGCCCCATCTCCTCCTCATTTAAGTGACCACATGAGATGTATCAAGCTCTCCAACTAGCCAGCAAGGCCAGGCTGAGGCCTGTACTCAGCTCCCTCTGCAGAGCAGCAGCTCTTCCCTTCTTTGCCCCATTCTCTCCCCAGGAGAGGAGGTGACAAAGCTCCGGGCTAGGCCTGGTCACCGGCGCCGCCTGCGCTGGATGCCAGCGCTCTGCTGGGTGCCGGCGCCTCCGCTGTCCGTGGCGCCTGCTTTGGAAGGCGAATGGGAACGTAGACATTGGAAGCACAGTGTTCCTTGAGGTATTCTCCCCCCTTTTCGTCATAGTCTTTCCTGGTTATCCAGCCTTCCTCACGGGTCATGTATTCCACTGCCCAATCCCTAGCCCCATACCAGGCATCCAAAACGGGACTGGAAGCGAGATGAACCTGCATGGAAGAAAGGTAGAAGGGGGTCTCTGTCAGCGCAGAACACCAATTTGTTTCAGAACCAAACACAAGAGAAAAAAAATAGACCATTTTTTAATTCCAATTAGATTATTATGTGGTGCAAATCACTAATTTTAGAAGTCCGAGTTCATCACTCAATGACTTTGGAATAACCTGAGAAAGGTTGACAGGCTCTGAAGTGTCTTCACGTAGAGAGCAATTTTCTGTGAACCTGCTCCGTTTCTACAGGTTGACAAAACATGGGGGTGTATCCTATTCACAACCAACAGTGCTCACAGCTGGAAGTCAAGGCTGGAAAAATTGGTGGTGCTCAAAAAAAAGTTTCAAACACACCAGCAAAACTGTCTGGAACTGCAGCAGCAGGGAAGAACACTGCAGGTAAAGAAGCAGCAGTATGTGGGAAAAGACCATGCATGCTCTTTTTCCACTGGCAGAGATTCCTATTTCCATTTAAAATGTTCCTATTGCTGCAGCATGAAATGCTTTCCTGGTCCAACTCTGGGATTACTCTGCTAGACACCACACAAGTGCCATATGTGATGTGTGAGTGGCAGATTGCTGATGGGGCACACTACAGACCATATTTAATGGAAAAAAGGAACTCCTTATTCAGTTACAAGCTGCAATATTGGAAGCAGAAAAAAAGAGTGAGGCCCACAAACATATGTTCAAAAACAGGGAGCAACATCCTTCCCCAAACTACCCACTACATGGTTGTAGCTTCCTATCACTTTCTTTCAAACATAGGGGCTCAAAGGCTACATACACTCATTTTGGAAAGCAATGGCTGTAGAATCACAGAATTATATTCACACTCATCTTTCTTGTGGTCTGTAAACTATTTTGCTGTTCAGGAAGGCACTAGATTTAGGAATACTCATAAGGCAGTTTCAGAACAGCAAAGAAGGTTCTTACAAGTCTCATAACATCACAGGTTCTTCCCTCACTGCTGCCCCCCCCCCTTTTTTTTTTAAAAAAGCAAGCATAAAAGGAACACGTGCTCAGAAGATACCCACTGAACCTCTTTTGCTGCCATCCCAGGTAAACATTACATGTAATAAATCCTCGATGCAATTCTTTTAAGTGTTTTTTTTTTCTCCCAGCTACTCCTACCAAAAGCTGCTTGTTCCAACTGTCCTAATGGTATGAAATTTGCAACTTTCTAACCAAACATGGAGCTTGTGGCTCCATGTTCCTTTAGCTGAAGCAGTCTTTCCTCTTCTGAGTTGACCCTAACTTCTCTGAAGTATTTAAAGAGATCAACTGCATCTTTGCTTACCCTTCATTTTGTCATGCAAGAAAAAAAAAAATCAGTCTCCTGTCATTCTCATGCTCACGTCCACCCACTCTACCTCTTCCAATCTGCAACACTTTTGAGTAGGGCTGAACAGATTGCTCATGTGCAAGTCTCACCAGTGCAAGTACCTGAAAAGACGACTGGAATGGCCTCATTTCAAGGAGTTCTTTCTGGACTCTGGCTTTCAGTCCAGGGTACATCGCATTTCCACCAGTGAGGAAAACATTCTGGACAAGAACAGCTTGCTGCTCCTTTGAATACCTGCAAAGAACAGAAAAACCTCACCACTTTCATATTTCCAAGTGCCTCACTCCTATGAATTGAACAGCTACAGACAATACTGATACCTGTCCTCAAGAATCACTTTGAAAAATCCTTTTTGTTTTACTATTAAATTCAGTGAGGTGGCATAAAAAAATCCTTAAAGCACATTGAATTGTGCCTCATAATCACTAATTTTGTAGAGCTCATTTTTTGAAAAGCAGCATTCCATTTCATATGATCACCCACTCTGGTGGGTGACTTTATTCTGATCCTGAAGTTGTCTAGAATCAACTGTCTAGCGAGTGTGCCTATGTCATAAGTCACAGGGTCATGCTAATTTTGGTCTCAAAAACAGACCTTGCTAACTCATTGCTTCAAGGGATTCAAGCATTTGTTGCTCTTCTCTGTAACAACTTACACAAGTAGAGATTCACATCCAGTTTCCTGAATATGAAGACATCTAATCTGCAGTGTTCCAGTCCACAAAAAAAAAAAAGACTATCCAAGTATATTTTTCCTCAACTTGCTGCCAAATAAAAATAAAATTAGCTTGTTTGAGGCAAACAAGAGCAAACTAGCTCCGGAAACTTACCTCTCAAGGACGTATTGCATGGTTTCTGCTATTCCTGCCTGATCTTCTCCTATCAGGGAAGGCTGGAAGACAATCTCTGGAGCCCTGATTCTCTCAGTGCCAAGAAAAAGCTGGTGGTACTCTGCCAGGTTAAACACGGGCTGGAGTAGTAAAAGATTGAAAAGCAGAAGAAAAATTAAGTTAAATAACAGTATTCTAGAAAACATTCTTCTTATTCACCTCCAAATCATTTCCATTTGCTCAATAAACTTTATTCTAGCAGGCAGCTGATAGCATTGGTGTACAAAGGTATCATCTATGCAAGGATTACATAAAGTTTAAATTAACTGTAAGTTAAGTTTCCAAACAGTTCTGTACAGAAAAGACTGTAATGTCCTCTCAAGCAGAGGGCCATGTTATAAAAGGTTTTTAAGACAAGGTTTCAAAGCCTAAGGAAACCAGAGTTATGCTCTGCTTTATCTGCTGCGCTCAGTTCTAAGGTACCACTTCACAAATTCAATGTTTTGTTCACTGAACCCTCTTGGTGTGATACTGAGCTATGGATCACCCACAAAACATATTCAAGCAGAACTTTTGCTCCAAAATATCAGCTAAGCTTCTCTCCTCAAAATAATCTAGTGCTCTTGGGAGAGATCTCATCTGGAGACACGTTAGCAGACTAGCTGAATAACTAGAAAGTAGCATCTCTGGCACAAGGTGCAAATACAGACACCAAACCTGCACTGCAGCAACAGGCTTCTCAACTTCAGGCTGTTCCTCAGCAAACAAAGGCTCAAACTCATTAATACTTTCCACATCCTCCAGTGACTGTTCACTGCCTAATGGATCCAAGTCAGGAGTCTGGAAAAAGAAACAGGGAAGAGGTTACTTGAGGCAGGTTAGCTCTGATGGACTAGGCATACACATGGGGAAATTTAGTCCCCATCCCTTAACCTTCAGCTCTTTTGAACTAGACTACATGGTTCTCCCCAGCACTGAAGAAATTAATCAAAGCAGTGAACAACCTGGAAAACAAAAGTTAATACATACATACACTCAAAGCAAAACACAACTAACGATGCTGACTTGGGAATTAAAGTTGAAAAGTTGCCAGGATCCTAAGCCAGCCATGTCCTAAATATAACAACATATTAAACTTATTAAAATAGCTTTTCAAGTTGGTTAAAACTTGATGCATTTCCAGCACTTCTAACTGCTCTATAATTAACATTTAATTCCCTGCCTTGCTTGCGTAGGTCTGGAAAACAAATATTTGCTGGCTGCAAAGCCACCACACAATGCTTGACAGTTGCCTAGTTTCAGCTGCTTGGCATTACTACATGGGGTATACCCCAAGGAGAAAAAAAGAAAGCAAAAAAAAAAAAAAAGGAAAAAAAAACCCAAAACAAAAACCAACCAAACAAAACCCACACAGATCATATATTTTACATTTACATAAAGGTGCCCCAAACCTCTTTTCCGAAGGAAAGCATCACACAAGATCCCAGAATATCATTGGGAAATGAGAATGATTCTTAAGTCACATCAGTTATTTTATCATTATAAAACAACTTTAGTAACAGAATCCCAAAGATTTGTTTTTGTAATTTAAAAACATTCATAACAATATTTAGCAAGTAATATGGGGAGGAGACAAAACTACATTTCAAAAAATCCTTAAGTATCTAGTGCATGCTTGAAACAAGCAAGTGCTCAAACCCAAATCTA